TGTGTTTTCTTATCAGTGTTAAAATCACTATATTTTACCCATACGTGATAACAGGTGTTTCATATCACACTGCACAAAGCGACCTTGTTCTGTGTCACTGCACCTGTAACATTATATTTTGTTATTGTAGTTATAACACACACCTTGTATAACTCGTATCATTTGACGGCATCAGATGTCCGTAATCATGCAGCAGAAATTATCGTGTTATTTATTTATTTATTTATTTATCGTGTTATTTATTTATTTATTTATTTATTTATTTTTTTTTTATGAGAAATAGTTTGGAACTGAATTCAGTGACGAAGGAAAATGTATTAATTGAACTGAGCTGGCTTGTCCGTTTTCCTGGTTTTATCATTTTCTTTATCTATCTTTCTTCTCTTCTCTCTTTCTCCTCTCTCTCCTCTCTTCTTCTCTCTTTCTCTTTCTCCCTCTCTCTCTCTCTCTTTCTCCTCTCTTCTCTTTATTTATTTATTTATTTTATTTATTTCTCTGTCTATCTGTTCTATCTTTTCTATCTGTCATCGATCCACCTACTATCTTTATAATATCTATGTATGCATCTGCCTCTGTTTGCCACTCCTTCCCGCTCTTCCTATTCCTTCCCTCTCCTTTCCATCTTCTGTCCCTCCTTTCTACTCTCTCCAATATATCCCTCCCTCGCATCCTCCAACTTTCTCTCTCTTCCTCCTTCCCTTTCACACTCTCTCCCCTCTCCTTTCTTCTTTCTCACCTTCCTCCCTCTTCCCTCTCCTTCTTTTCCTCCTTCCCTCCTTCCCTTTATCCGTCCTTTCCATCTTTCCTCTTTCCTTCCTTCTGGCCCTCCATTCCTATTTCCTCTTTTCTCTTTCTTCCCTCCTCTTTCTCCTCTTTCCTCTCCTTCCTTCCTTCCTTTCCTCCTCTCCCTTCTTCTTTCCTCCTTCCCTCCTTTTTCTCTCCTCCCTTCTCTTTCTTCTTTTCCCACCCCTCCCCTCTTCCCTCCTTCCCTTTATCCCTCCTTTCCTTCCCTCCTTCCTCCTTTATCCTCCTTCCCTTCCTTCCTTCCCCCCTCCTTCCCTCTCCTCCCCTTCCCTCTTTCCCTCCTTTCTCTCCTCCTAATTAGCAGAAATAGCCTTTGGCAACAAAATCAAAATATTATTGATGTAATCGACACTTTGGAAATATTATGATAAACAATTATAATAATGTTTTTTGTTTTGGTCACAGACCTTCGTCAACAGGTAAGATGTTTAATAAATATTTCAGAATGATTTTTTTCCAGGTATTTAGAGTATTTTTAAAATTATTTTTCATATATGTTATTGTTATTTGATGTTATTTATCATTGTTATTGAATGGTGTATGTGTATAATTTGTGCTGGCGTATAAATGTCTTGTCATTTTTCTTATAAATCTGATGATGATCTGTCATATATATCTATTTAGTTGCTCTAATAGACGTGCATAGTTTAGTCGCCTCTGTGAATGTCATTTAGCTTTTTTTGTTATTTTTTTCGAAGTCTCTAAAGAATATATATATTTTTAGAATCTCCCATGACAGATTGCTTTCGCTGCATGTTTAAATTTCCATTTTTTCTTGAACTTTATTTTTATTGTTATTTTTGTCATTAGTATTATTGTTGTTATCATTATTATTATCATTGTCATTAGTATTATAAGTGGTATTATTATCAGTATTATTCATTGCTATTAGTATCATTAACAGTATTGTTTTTGTTATTATCATTATTGTTGTTGTTTGTTATCATTGTTATTATTACAATTATTATTGTCACATTATTGTATGTCATTGTATTGTATCATTATTGTAGTTCTTGTTGTCATTATTCATATCATTCTTATTATTATTTCTATTAACATTTATTTATTTTGATCATCATCGTTATCATTACATTCAAATTAGTAGTATGGTTAGTTTTTTTTACGATTATTATTAATGATAATATAGTTATTATCACACTGATCGTCAATGTCATTATTGCTTTAATTTATTTTTGCTGTTGTTTTTTGTATAGCGTCTATGGTGTACTGTGTTCTATGTTCTATCTACATGATAACGTAAAATACACAGTTATCAAGACATTATGATTTACCAACGCGAAGATTTCTCCTTGTTATATCTGTTTACTTGTAATTCACGAGCTTAAACTAATTTTTGCTTTATATGTCTCTGAAATCACCAATTAAGCTGTTAAATGTCATTGGGCAGTTAACGAAGGCGTCGACAGCCAATGGCGAGCCACCAAGCTGTCGCAAAATAGGTCGTTTGGTTGTTTATCATTATTGTGTCATTTGTTTTATGCTTATCTTTTATCTTGGACTGCTGCTTTATCTCTCTTTTTTTGTTTTTTTCTCTCTCTTCTTTCTCAGGTACCTTTATAAGAACCGGATACGCCTAATAGAGAGTCGAGTGTTCCAACATCTTGACAAATTGGAACAGCTGTAAGTAAATCAACTAACGGTGTGCGTGTTGTTTCTGCTCTTCCTTCAAGTTTATATTAATTTTGCCTCCGTAAAGATGTAATAGTAATAACAATAATAAAAAAATAATAATGGTCTAGCATTTCTTCATATGGTACAACACCGATTTTCCGGCACAGGGGCTTTCATCGCCGAGTTTCCGGCACAGGTGGTTTTTACATCGATTTTCCGGCACAGGTGGTTTTTACACAGATTTTCCGGCACTGCAATTTTTTTTACACCGATATTCCGGCATAACCGTTTTTCCGGTCTAGTGATTCACACAAAGAGGTCGACAGTACCTCCATTTAGCCACAATCGACCTATAATCAGGTCTTGAAACTTACATAAGCTTTTTGAAATATCTGATGAAAATTATTGACTAAACAGATTTTTTTTCGATGAAAATGGGTGCTAAAAATGATAATAAAATAAGAACAAAAAATGAAAACCAGTTTTCGGAAGATCGGTGTTGTACTATTAATTTACTTCAGCAGTTGTCAACTCTACTTGCTTTTTATACATAAAAGTTATGAATGAGAACGATGTAAAATATGGAATTGACTTACCCATATTCCATCCTCTAAATATTTGTATTTTTAGTCAAATACATTATTCAAAACTACGGAATTTTCTCATCCATATCTTTTTTTCTTTTTTTTTTACGTGTAACAATGAAACTCTTTTATCTTCTTTTGCTTAGTTCTTATAATATTGCTTAGACCGTTTTCCAGAGCTATGGTTTAAGAACGTGCTTCGAATTTCAAAAGCTTCGTTGTAGTGTGAATGAGTGATAGAATTTTATTTTCGTGTTCTTTACTTCCATTGTTCTTAATGTTAGTAGTTTCGATTTCACATTTTGACGATGTTTTTTTATTTTTCTAACCTTTAGTGGGAGTAGAACAGATGTTTTTTCATTAATGTGTATATATATACTTATATATTTATGTATATGTATATATATAAGTTCTATAAATTGGCGAGTTTCTTCCCGTTATTCCTTCAGTGCACAACACTACAGTTTATGACGGAAAGAGAAATGGCAACATTTTGAAATATTTGTACTTTAGCATTGTCCATGACGCAAACCTGCGTTCGTAGATATACACATATACACACACACACACACACACACACACACACAACACACACACACACACACACACACACACACACCACACACACACACACACACACACACACACACACACCACACACACACACACACACACACACACACCACATACACACACACACACACACCACAACACACACACACCCACACACACACTCACCGTGCAAGCTCCCTCATCATTGCAGATACCTGCATTTCAACGACCTTGCAACCTTCGACGCAGACACGTTCTCCAATTTGACGAGTCTAGAACGTCTGTAAGTATGTTGTTTGTACGAAACTTAAGTCTTAAGCCAGGAAAACGAACAAGATCGCTCTCCTGCTCTGCCTCATGGACGCCATCTTGGATTTCCTTGAATTTTTAAAAAGAAATATTTGTTTTTCGTTTTTTGTATCTTTCGATATCAATGTGATCTTTCTTCCAAATTGATTACATGCTAGAGATAATTAATTAACTTTTCGTGTCATTCAAGAACTCTCCTGTTCCAAAATGGCGTCCATGAGGAGAGGTTAAATTCGAAAACTCTGGGTTTTGGAGGCCTAATGGATGTCCGCCTATATTTACAGATACCTTCATTTCAACAAGATTGAAAAAATAGGACCCGATGTATTCTCCAAGTTGAATAGGTTACAAAGGCTGTAAGTAAGAGAAAGTAGAGGAGGGGCCGTTGGTTAACCGCACGCTACACAGCATAGAGATTAATTCCCATTTACTTTGGTCTGCCCCTCCATAGTCTCGTTTTCTTTCTAATACCCCAATAGTGCCGTTTTCTTTTTTCCTTGTTGTTTCCCTTATTTCTTAATTAAAGCGCAAGTAGCGGTGTGTGCTCTGTAAATAGTACCCCAATTAAACATCCATTACCTCAGAAAACAAAGCTACAAAGATACCCATTAATATTCTTCGTTGAACTAAACACGTGCATGAATCACACCACCTGACAAAGCGAATAACTTCGGGTCCTATTAATCGTACTATTAACTCGGGTGACGGATTCGCAGACGGGGTTTTCAAACGCTATAGCTATAGGTTCTGCTCTTAGAGGGAAAATCCATGGTACGATTGAAAATTAAATGCTGAATTTTTAACACCACAGAAACTACATGAAAAAAGTAATATTGCTAAGTAATAGACTAGCTTTCCATCAAAAATAGGAAAGCGTAACATAAATTGGTATTTTCTATTCTGCATAGCATTTCTAGACATGTGCTAGGGCTTCGAATAAAATATATTTTCTTAAAATGGTGATTGTACTTTTTAACAAAATACAGTACTTGTTTTTTTTTAAGTGTACGATATTCGTTTGTGAAAGTCTTACAAGTTTTGTAACATAAGAAACCAACCAAACAATATATCTGTTTGGAAATTTAAAGAGAATTAACATTTTTTTCTTTTTGTTTTGTT